TTCGGTCCTATGTATTGCTTCAAGTATTCTCTGTAGCACTGGTTTGGATGACATGAATTCTTTCAGCTTATTTGTGTCATGGAAAATTTCCTGTTCCCCTTACACCTTAATAGATAGTTTTGCTGGATAAAACATTCAGGGTTGGCATCCATGGTTGTTTAGAACTGGGAATACTTTGTTCTGTGTTCTTCTGGATTTCATAGTTTGCACTGAAAAGTCAGCTGTAATTCCGATGGGTTTTCCTTTATATGTAACTCATTTTTCTCTAGCAGCTTTCAGTATTCTCTCTTTGTTCTGTACATTTAATGTTTTTACTATGATATGTCATGCGACTTTCTGTTCTGATCATGTCTTAATGGTGTTCTCTGAGCTTCTTGAATTTCTGTAGGTGTATCTTTCCTAAGTTTAGGGAATTTTTCTTTTGTAATCCTATTGAAGACCTGTTCAATGCCATTGGTTTGAGTTTCTTCTTCTTCCACTATGCCTAAATATATGGATTTGGTTGTTTCATGTTTTAGTACTGCTTGGGGAGGGAGAGTCAGATTTCTTCAGGAATGGGCCCCTGAGAGGCTACCCATGCTCCAGTAAACTGTCCCACATGCATGGTCATTCAGGCAGCATTAAATGTTCTCAAAGGGTATTGAAAAAAAGAGACAGAGAACATGAATTTGGGAGGAAAAGTGCTGAGGATATGAGGGGAAATTGGAGGGGAAAGAATGATGGTGGACTTGATTAAGCATATTAGATACATGCATGAGTATTAAATAAAATAATACACATTCTTCTCAGAATCCCATAGAAACTTCTCTAAACTTTATCACATATTATGACCCAAAACACTTTTCAACTAATATTGGAAAACTGAAATATCTTATGTTCTTTATGATCACAATAGAACAAAGCTAGCTTTTGACAGCAACAGAAACTACTGAAAGTACACCAACTCTTGGAGACCAAACAACACGCTGCTGAATGATGATGGGCTGCTGAATAAATAAGAACGAAATAAAAAAATTCCACTTGGTTTATATTTTCAGACATTTTATTCAGGTTTTAAAATCTATTGTGTATTGCCTTTTGTGTGTGATGTAAGATAAAATTTTTTCCCCATTTCAGTGGTAAAGTTGAATCTTCACTGACCAAGGCTGAGGGTAACACCAATCTATAAATGCGTATAGAAATATTTAAAAAGCAATTTGACAAAATGACCATTTAGCAAAACAATAGTAGTTTCCCACCTAGGGCATATGACCTTCCTAAATATAGTTGTTGGCCATGTACAGGACCAGGTATAAATTTCTTCCCATGAAGCAGGTCTTAAATCCAATCAAGAGAGCAGTTTGTTACCCCATAAACAGTCTTGCCATTATTGCACTCGTGGACACATCTTGCTTTCCAGGTCAGCATCTTAGCATGAAGGGTTCACACTGGATAAGACTACTGATGTCTTTTCTCCTCTAGCATCCTGCATAGCACCTTCCAGAACTAGAAATCTAGCCAAGAGGGAGATAGTTTCCTGGTCAGTTTAAGATTGATTTCTCTCTGTCCAACAACCAAGATGTGGAAGTTCTTACCACTTATTTCAGTTGGGCAACCAAGAGCAATGACAACAGCCTGAGTTGTTTTTGTTGACCAATAATTCATAGAGAAGGAACGCATGCCTGCATGAGATTTTTATTTAATAATCCATGCATTCTGGGATGACATTTGCTCACCCATGCATGGTAATTCTGTTCAAATCCCTTTTGAAAACAATTGTATTTTTAAATAGCTTACAAACTAGTGAGTTTTCATAAGACATCATCATAAATCATTAGCTTTGGTTAACCCACCCCTTAACCTCCTCCTGTCTCCAATCTCCTTGCCCCACTCACCTTGAATATTTAACCCCTGTGGTTCTCTCTCCTGCTAGGCTGATTCTATTTCCTGCCTATTATGCATAGAGTAACAATGAACATAAAAGTGCAAGTATCTCTGTAGCAGGATGTAAAGACTTTGGGTATATGCCCAGGAATGGTATAGCTGGCCCATATTGTAGCACAATATCTAATATTTGGAGAAGTCTCCAGACTGATTTCCAAAGTGACTGAACTCCCTCACATGCCTACCAATAGTGTATAAAGGTTTCCTTTTCACCACATCTACTCTAGCATTAGTTGGTATTTGAATTCCTGACTATGACCATTCTGACTGGGGTGAGATGCTAACTTTAAGTAGTTTTAATCTGCACTTCCCTCATGGATAAGATCATTGAATACTTTTTAAAGCATTGCATTTCTTCTTTTGAGAACCCTCTGTTCAGTTCTCTACCCTGTTTCTAACTAGGATATTTATTTTCTTGCTGTTTAGTTTTTGTTTTTATCCTGTTTTCTTTTTATTGAATTTTTGCAATTTTTTTATTTATCAATAAA